TTTTCAAGGTACAATTTATTGGTATACAAAGTAAGTACCATACGTTGTAGGTACTTAGAGATGTTGAGGCATAGATGATTTAAGAATAGCCATTTCATAATTTTTTTCAAGTTAAGATCTGTTATACGCAATACCTCTGTCCGCGAACATGCCTTGACAATCATGTTGGTGTCATCTACGTAAGAGATTATAGAACTATTTGGCAAAACTGAAAATAAAGCACTTATATATAGAACAAGAAGGGACCTAAGATTGTTCCTCGTGGAACACCACAGGCAACAGTTAATTTTTGCCTGTTTTGTTAAATTTTACTACTTATTTCCGATTAGATAAATAGTTCATTAATTGCGCCTTCAGAATTCTTACCCATCTGAAAGCCGAATTGAAGGGGGTTAATTATCTTACTGATCATTATAAAAAGCACCACTAAGAGTGCAAAGAAGGTTTAATGGCGATACATATCAACTCAGATTGCGGGCAAGTCAGACTTTTGTCACACATCAGACTAAGAAATGATGCTGTGTCAACAAACTGCTGTTAATGGCCTCCAAGGAATAGATCTAGGTGATTGTGGAGATGTCTTGGATTTTGAGGTGGGGAATTCCATTGCGCTCCATTCATACAGTCTATTCAGGACGAGTTTTTGTTATTTTTGAATGACATTCATTCTCTTCGATGAGCAGAATGTGGCACAATTATGAACTAAAAGCAATGCATTTACTGGCTCTTGTACAACTGATGCAATGTCATTTATTGCAATGGCAAATAGAGTTATGCTCAAAATTGACCCTTGGGAAACTATTATCCAAAGAGTGACTGGAAGATAATTTTCTACAAATGTGAACTCGAAAGGATTTTGGAAGAGAGGAAATTCACAAGAATCATTGGAGGCTGTCTCCCCAAGCCCCCAAAAGCGCAAAGTGCGAAGTATGCTGTGCCTAGAGGTTATCTCATAGGTCATTTCAGTTGCAAAGTGTTATAATATAAAGTGGATATCTGCGAAGCAAGAGTGACCAAGTGTTTCAAAGTAGACCAGTCTCCCTGAAGCCAGACTGAATTGGTGTTAAAAAGTTACTTTGCTCAAGGGCCAGACCAGACAATGGGTAACCATTCTCTCCAAAAGCTTACAAATGCAGATAAATGGCGAAATTGTTCTATAATTCAAGGTTATCTTTCAGTCCTTTCCTTCCTTAGGGTAAGGGATGACTATAGCCTCGTGCCAGATTTTAGGAATGGGGTTTTTGTTTCAAATGTGATTAAAGAGGCTAAGAAGGAAGGATCACGCCTTCCCGAGTTGGTACATTAATGTCTCATTGTGATCTTCCCCAATTTGACGGACCTTTCGACAAACCACGTTAGAAGGAATCTGATAAGAAAGAAAGCCTCTTCAAGACATTTTGCTTTCGTGGATGGAATTTCTAACACTGGGCTCAACACCTCTTGTATTCAATTACATTTTTGATTGTAGAGAACTTATTGATTCTTGCCAATGCTAGTTTCCTCACACGGCCTGCAGTGGTGCAGTTAGCGTATCATCACGGTACGGGGGGATGTCGTGGTCATCCCATTCTTCTCGGTATGGTGGTATTTTCAGCATCGAGAAGGGCTTTGATGAAATGGGCAGCCATTCAATTAATGTTGTTGAGACACTGATCCAATATGTGCAGTTCTTTCCCGAAATTGGCCCAATCAGCATACTGCATTGACCACTGTGGTAGCAAAACATCAAAATCAGGCACATGTAAGTGGGCGAGAATTGGAAAGTGTTTGCTTCCATGGAGGTCCTCCAGAACAGCCCATTCTACAATTGTGGGTAATGATGAACTGCAGAAACCGAGATCTATATGGGAAAATGTGTTTCACATCATGGAGAAATGACTTTGATTAGAAGCCTCAATTTGTATCTGTCTACAATATTTTCGAGAAGGAGACCTCCCTGGCAAAACTTTGCTGCACCCCAGATGAGACTATGAGCAATAAAATCCCCAAGAATGAGAAAAGGTGCAGACAGTTGAGAGATGAGATTCAGGTCTTCTTGAGATACAGCTTGTGCAGGTGGGACAAAGACATTGCAAACTGTTATCGAGATAGTACGGAAATTCACACAAACAAAAGATATCTGAAGACTGGTTTGCAAGTTTATTTCTTTGGACACTCGGGAGACTAAGACAAATGTAGTGATTCCGCCTAGGCCATAATCAACGTCTTGCCTGTAAGAACAAAAGCCGCAAAGAGAGGGCATCTCTGGAAAGATGTGTTTCCTGCAGTCAGATAACAACGGGTCTACATCGAGAGATTATCAACTTTAAAACATCTAAATGACTATGAAAGCCATTGGGATTCCACGAGAGGAGAGCCTTGATATTTAGGTGTTAAGTTTCTTCTTTTACTTCTTACTTGTTTTTTATTCTTTCATAAGAGCTGATGACAAACTTGTGGTACTCCTCCTCCGTCCGGGTCACCATGGTGGTGGTGGTGGTGGTGGTGATGATTGTTGTTAAATCAATGACAAATACAGAAAATGTTATACATATGGCAAATCAATTAAATACATTATGTCAGGCTGTCCAGCATTATGAAACAAAGGTCTTCATTGATAAAATCAATAAGATATCCTCTGTAATTGACACTGCAATTCCTCTGACCTTGAACATCAGGAAAACTGAATTAGAGAAAATCAGAAAGAATGAGGAGCATGCAATGCAATTGAAACATTTCTAGAGGTTGGAAAAATATATAAGCCGTAGTAATTTTATCAGGTCTGATGTAGAAAAATTTTAAAAAGAATTTGTGAAATTCGTAAAAAAGCAAGAAACTTGCAATCTGTTGGATACAAAGAAGTTTTACTTCAGACTTGCCTCATTGTTTGAAAGTTTTTACAATAGTAGAGTAGGATGAATTCCCTTTTTATAAGAACTGAATCTGGTTCTAAGGTACCACTAACACCAAAACAGTTTCCCTATCCCCAGTTCCTACTGAGAAAGAAAACTGATGATGATGATGATGATGATGATGATGATGATGATGATGATGGCAATCATAATTAATTTTTTTATCGTGCATTTTGGCCATCTTGGAACCACGTAAACTTGCAATCCACTGGGCCTCAGTCCTATTTATCAAGGGTTGGTGCATGCGACTTTTAAGGGGGATCAGCATTTTCATGCTGAATCTTGTTTTTACACCCAGTGTTGTAAGCCTTGGGGGATGGGGTGAAATGATGATGATGATGATGATGATGATGATGGATGAAATGGACCTACAGATATGCTCACAAGTGCAACCATTCTTGAGGTGGGACTCGAATCCGAGATCCTGCGATCCCAGACCGCCATGGCACTAATGGCTTTGCCTTAGCAATCTCGGCTACCCACATCAGCTAATAATTTCCTTTGGTTGGTTTTTGCAACTGGTACAAAAAAAGTGTCACATTCTATATTTCATGGACTCATTCTTGGCACTTTCAGAAGAAATTTCGAATGAAAATGAATACAGTCAATCTCATTATGAATTAAACTGTATACAAATTTTAAAAGATTGAAATCATTGTGTTATTGTCTAGTATACTTGCAATTTGGTTATAATCACGACTTATTCTAGATAAAGGTAAACACAGAGTCCATGCCACAAAATTAAAAAAATTATGTTGTAATCTTTTTAATTTTTTTGAATTATTTCATGACCACACAGAAGACAAATAGCATAAAATCAGTCTAACTAATGTTTGATATAGTGTTCTAACAGTGTTTAAGTTCATGAAATTTGTAGTCATTCAAATGAATCCAAGCATACAAGTACATTTCTTAAGATTTTATCAATATGATCTGTAAATTTCAATTTGGAGTAACGAGTACTCCCAAATTCTTCTTTAGTGAAACCGTTTCTAATATGTGACCATTTATTGAATATTGGAAAAATATCTTATTTCTCCGCCTAGAAAAACTCAAGGCTTTACATTGCAATATATTTAGATCAAGTTTATTGTTATTACACCAGGAAGCTAATGAGAGAATTGTGAAGTTTAGATGTAAAGTAATACACTCTTGGAACGATTTTATTTCAGAATATAGTTTCAGAACATCAGCATACATTAAAAATAAGCACGAGGGAAGTTTCAATTAATTTCATTAATAAACAATATAAACTAACAATAGTGTACCCACATGTGAATCTTGTGAAACACCTGATTTAACAATTATGTCTTTTGATATAAAGAATTTATATTTCACATTCTGAAGTCGATCAACTAAATAATTTGTTTTGGAATATAATTTAAATGATTTCATACATTTTTTCATAAAAATAAGATAAAGCTAAATCAAGTGAATATTGTTCAAAATAATAAAACAATTAGAATGAAACAATTTCATAATTGATTTTATCATAATCCACATTTTCAAATCTATATTCCATACTTAGAAAATTAAGCTTCTAGAAAAAATAACCTTGGCGTTTTAACTTGATGGAATAATAATAATAATAATAATAATAATAATAATAATAATAATTATTATTATTATTATTATTATTATTTTCTTCCGTTCACATAATTCTCACAACGTTAAATGACACTTTTTGAGAGAATTGCTGGCAACCTTCAATTTGACCTTGCAAAGTAAGAAAGGTAACTCACGAACCATATAGTCTATTTTTATGTCTGGACACTGTGGAAGGAAGCATCTGGTTTTGATACTAACTTTCCCCACCATGATTTCTACTAAAATATGTGAATGCAGATCGCTCTGGATACATCCCATTTATTATTTATGTCATGTTTTACTTTTATTGGCTACATTACATATGGAATGAATCTGCAGGCGTTTTAACTTGATGGAATAAGACAGCATAACTTTCATACGCATCAGCGAATGTGAAGTGAACCAGACATATTTCTCATTAAACATTCACTTTCACATATAACTATGATAATTTGTTTCAATGCCAAATATAATTCTACTTGTACATAAAAATATGTTAATTACCATAAAAAAAATTCTTACCAGAACTTTGTTGCTTGGGTACAAAGCTCTGCCACCATCTGGTAGGTGTCTTCCGTTTTGTTGGTTCATGTGACATATAACACTCAGAACATCCATTACATGGCAACGAATACAGGATATCTGCATTACAGTTCCAGGTAACACCTTTACCATCTTTCTTAAATCCCATAAATATGAATGCCATGTATTCTCTCAGAGCACCCCAATACCAGTATTTGTCACGTTTTGCATATGTATCATGTACTGCACCCCATCTGAGTCCATTCACACCATATACAGGTCTTTGATCTTCACGTTCTTTCTAAAAAAAAAAAAATGTATATAAGGAAGAATACAAATAAGATTCCAATAAATAAAATGTTACTGGTCTTTCAAGTATGTTTCAGATCAAAATGTCATTTAAAATTAATAATTTTTAACCCTCTAATGTACCACACAGTTCTATGCATTGAAATAATTTTACACAGATTTTTCCAATACTTTATAACATTATAAATATCTCTACTAACTTAGTTTAAATTAATATATCTTCTGATCAAATACTAGGTTTAAAATACTCGATTTAAACACAATCAAATGTTAACAGTTTTGCTCAGAAATTAAGCACAATGGTTTTGATACACACCCAAATCTGGGGAGATATTACAACAGCCATGAAGAGCAATTCACAGCAGAATTCACCACCTTTCTTTTACGTTTTCTTATGGAATTCACTATCTTGGGTTATGAAAGTAAACAAAAGTTTTGTTCTCGTAAGTACACCGCATAAAGGTAGTGTGATAATTAAAGAAGGAAGAGAAAGTCTGAAGTCTTATTATTCAACAACAAATCATAATCCAGAGACGACCACATATAACAAATGGCTAAATAAAGAAACAAAACCTAAAGACGGTCCCTTTCCCTTTTTTGAGAATACTTTGGATGTTACTGAGAAAATGAATTTCATTTGTTTAAAATACAGCACTGTTGATAATGTCAAAAAAAATCCATTGCAGAGAATTAATTGTATGTGAACTTCAATTGGCTTAAGTTCAATTGAACAGCACAGGAAAAAACAATTCAATTACAGTCCAGTTGAATAAAGCAACATAATTGCAACTAAACCAAAATACAAATTCAAAGTTACCAGGTATCTGACATTTTGGAATCCACGATTTTCCCTCGTTTTCTATATTTGAGAAAATAAGTTATCCATGTTCTGTTTTTAATATTACAACACATTTTGTCTGTTCATTACTTAACCATACTACATTACTCTCAGACTTCTCTCTTACAACCAAGTTCTGGAGGGAAGAATTTTGTACAAAGGAGCATTAAAAAATCCTTAGATTATTTTTGTTTTTCTAGGTAACATATGTTACAAATAAATATTGTAACTCTACATGAAATGATAAAGAAAGTATTTTTTCAGTCGAAAAATTTATCTCAGGATTTGAAATAAAGTTTTTGAGATGAGTTTTTCTCTACATTGATTTTCCCTAAAAAATGTCATTCTACCATACGCAACAACAGTTTTCAACATGCAACTACGAATATTTTTCGAAAATGTAACAAATGTTTTCAAACTTATAAGACTAACATAATATTTATTTAGGCTTGTATCTAATTATTTAATGAATTCACAGACATATGCTTTAACACTGATTTCTTATCTAAGCAATGATTGTTAATGTAGTTTCTTCATTTGCTGATTGCAAGCATTAACATAGTAACATAACATAGTGTGGCTAGACAACAATAAACAAGACAAAATCATAATTGATTTTTCGCCTGCTAACTAAAAAATGACTCTTTTGAAAATTGCTAAAACAATTTTTCCTCAAGAACCATTATGAAATGCATAGGTCCACGTTATTTGAGGAATTATGTGTTGTTCTTCCAAGCCTTTTGATGAAGGTTTGCCATAGATGCTCGATATGTTTGCAATATACTACTAATAATATTACTATAAATATTAATAATAATAATAATAATAATAATAATAATAATAATAATAATAATAATAATAATAATATATTTTACACAATTGTTTCATACGTCATGAGATAGGTAGCTTCAGATTTCCATGCTTTACATTATGCAGTGTTTGATTAAACTTTCAACTACTACGTTCTTGGGTTTGGAGTCTTGTAGACACGTAACTCTAAATTTCAAAAAAAGGAAGCATTATCACACGTAATATTTTTGTATCTTTGTAGTATAATCATGAGAATTCTAAGACAACATATGCATTTATTTGTTGTTTAGTAGATAATTAACAATGTTAGAACAATGAGACTAAGTAAAGCGAGTATTCCACACCAGTAGCCGTTTCTCAGTACCTAATCTCCATTCCTTTCAATTGTCCCAGGCATCATCTTCTAAATCTCTCGCCGGTATCATTGATCTTATGTCTTCCTCTCACTTACTACTAGGTCTTCCTCTACCTTCTTTCCTCAGGGTGGTATTCCCACATCATCTTGGGCAGTCGCTCATTGTCCAACCTTCTTAAATGCTCATACCATAATAAGGGCTTTGCTTCTGTCAGTTCTAAGGTTGATTTTCCGGGTTTCAGTATTTCTATTATTATCATCATCATCATCATCATGCACCGCTTCCAATATTCCATTTCTGCTCCTTGGATCCTACTTTCATCCCTAGCGATAATAGTCCATAACTCAGCTCCAAATGTGAATAGACTTTCAACAGTTGTCTTGTAATGGATGTAAAGGTCTTATAACTCGTCTACCTCTATTTGTTTTGTTTAGAACATCTTTGCTATCACAAGCATCACTTGTTACACACAGATAGTTGAATTCATTTACATATTTAATTACGGCCTTGCTAGTTAACAGGTACTGACCATTCACTACCATATATTTTGTTTTTGATATATTAATACCGAGTTCCCACTTTTCATATTCTTCAATTAATTTTTGAGTCATTCAGTGGAGATCATCCTTGTCACTGGCTAGGACCACTTGGTTGTCTGCATACAACAAGGTACAAATATAAGCCAAGAAGTATTCCCATCCACTTACACTTTCTTTTCCAGGAGTGAAGAATGTGTTTAATATATATTTTCAACACAGTAGCGGATATACAACAATCTTGCCTTAGGCCTTTGTTTATTTTAAAATCTGACAAACTACTTGAACCAACTTTTACACTGCTCTGACAATTCACATATAGACCTTTTATAGAATTTATACACCCCGTATTTATATTCTGATCTTCCATAGTATCCCTCAGTTTAGCTAGGGGTACCGAGAGAAATGCTTTTATCAGATCTACAAGTACCACCTGAATATCTTTGCCTACACTTATTCTTTTTTCATTAATTTGTTTTAAACAGAATATGTTATGAATACAAGATCTCCCAGCGCAAAAGCTACTCTTTTCCTCTATTTCCTCGACCTATGTTTCCAATCTCTTGCTTAATATCGCGGCGGCGATGGTGTAAAGGTTAGCGTATCGGACTGTTATACCCAAGTTAGCGGGATCAAACCCGATCGAAGCCATGGATTTTTAAGGGCAAGAAAATCCTTCATACGCCATCCTTAGAAGGGCAAGTAAAGCCGACTATCCCATGTTAGTAGACTTACTTGCATGAAAAAGATCATCAAGCCTAAATGATGCCTCTGAGCAAAATTCAAATCGCCTGTTACGTCACCCAAGAAATACCTTGTTTCTCCGCTAGTTGGTGAAAGGAGAGTAGCGAAATGTGCGTGGTTAGATGGAAGAGCGGGCCTGTTGGCCCGAGTCTCGCCACGTAAAGTAAGGCATTAATTTAATTTAATAATATCGGGCCATACAGTCTGCCAATTGAACTGGTAACACCAATGCCCCTATAATTTTCACATTTGTATTCTTCTTCTTGTCTTTCTTATACATAGATGAAATGTGTGCCATTTTTCATTCCTCAGGAGCTTAATTTCCTTCCAAGCATATATTGAAAATCCATGCCGTGATATCTATGGCACTTGAAAGGGCAGTTTTAATTAATTTAAATAGGATACCTCCACGTCCTGGTTTGTTTGGCCAAAACATAATACGGAACATCATTTATTAAATTTAAGAAACCAAACAAATCAAATTTTTAAAATTCCACCCACTTTTACAATTCCCATGATTGAGTTGCCCACAAAAAATACCACCGTCAAAAAGTATGTCATGAACATGTAATGTGAATATATCCAAAATTCTAAAAATACAAGATTTTTACATGAGGGGTTTTGGTTTGAATAATAATACATTTTACATTGTGATCATCCATTTCCATTTTCATTAAAAAAGTTCCTGCAGTTAAAACTGATACATCATGTTGTTGTTGTTGTTGTTGTTTTTTTTTTTTTTTATGCAGCTCTTAGAGTTTGGAATAAAAAATGTTCAGATGGAATCTATTTGTGAAATGGCAGTTATTTAAATATTCTTTTTATTTGCAGACGACCAGGTTTTAATTCCTAAAAATGAAAATGAACTCCAGAAAAATGCTCATATGTTGAGTAATATCTTGGAAGATTACAACCTGAAAATCTCTATTAAAGAAAAGTAAAGAAATAGCACTCCAAGGCAAATTTCCCTTCAGATCAAAAATATGTATTTTCAATTCAATGTAGGAACAAGAAAGACATTTCAACTACCTTGTCTGCGATTTGTGCTACAATTATGAGAACGACATCAATATCAAATTCCATCAGTTTCAACAAATGTGCAGCACAATAACACTGGCACTCTCAAAGAAGAGAGAGAACAAAAAATGTACAAAGTAATGGCAGTATCAGTTTTATTGTACGTTTTGTATCGAATACAATGCACATTTGATATACACTCTAAGTGTTTTCAGTTTCAATTGCTTTTAGCACACTTTTACTCTCAGCTGATGTCCGCATACACAATCTATCACAGTACAGATCTGGATCTTAGGACTTTACATCTGAGAGTAGACTTTGTTAAGAACTTCACTGCACAAATGCAAGGGCAAACTATCCATGGTTTTTGTCCCAAAACAGTATCCACATTTTTTCTTAGTCAAATATGGATTTCTTGGAAGTAATGTCTCACGAATAATGATGTTTGAATAGACCAAAGACTTATTTTTACTAGCTCTCTAATTTAACAGAAAACTTGTTTTCTATGTTATGTAGGTGAAGCTTCTCTTTTAAAGGTTAAATTTAATTTTTTGTAGGAGTATCTAAAGGTAGCGACATACGATTTGAAATATATTACATAAAGTTTGGGAAGCAAAACCTAGCATTGGAATGTAATACTCAAGTCTGGTGACTGGCAAGACTCAATGGCAGGTAGAAATTTCATTTACCCTTGTGCATCAATTTCAATCTCCTTATGCAAGTTTCTGCCAAGAATCTTGTTTGATTATTATATTTCAGATTGTGAAGATCATGGATTCTGTCCTGTTATAAAATAAAAAAACTTCCGTATTTATTAAAATTATAAAACTGGTATAAACTTCCACATTGTCAAACAAATCAAAATTGTTTGATATAAAGAATGAACCTGTTTGAACCTCGCTTTGCTACATTAGGTTTAAAATGCGATAGTTTATTATATTTAAAATTATATCTTCAATAAAAGTTAATTGAACATCAAGTTTATGCTTTTGAAAATGAGACTGTTAAAACAATAAGGTTACCTCAGTAGAGAGCAGTTTCCTGGCACTAGCTTCTTCCATTTATATGTTAAGACTTTCCGAGACCCTTGAAACTTTTCATAACTTAATTCTTCCACAAGGTCACACAATCATTCCCTTTTCATCCACTGTTTAAATGGTTTTTGTCTCCAACTGGAACCTTGACCCCTGACTGAAAAGGTGGTTATTGCTACCATGAAACTAAAAACTTGGGAGATTCTATATTTTGGAGAACATTACTACTCTTAACTGAGAGGCTGAGTTGATACCACAAACACAAACAAGAACAGAAGAGAGCAATGTCTCCCTAAACACCAAACCTGTCAGCTTCTTTGTTCCCTTTCCTGTCTCTTATATGAAGCTGGATTTAATTTGAGTGTGCCAGACACTGCCTCATTGGCAATTCAACACTTGTAATGCCCAACAAAGAGAATTGTGCAAGGAAACAGAAAAATGCAAGACTCGTCAATACTTGAGAAATCTTTTTGCTTTTAACAGAGGATATGAACACACGTTTTAAATGATAGGAGAAAAATATAACAAGTAGTATCTACATACAAATCTTATCACACTGAACAGAAAAAGAAGAAAATCAATATTGTGTAAAGAAGAGTACTTACTTCTAATTGTTCAATCCTGATAACATCTACAGGCTTTCTTACTTCTTGAATTATTGACATAGTTGCCTCTCCCATTTTTTTAACTATATCTTTTCCACTGTCACTGAATAGGAAATTGGCTGAAGCATTTATTTGTCCTAAAGGCAAAATCCCCACAGGAATTCTTTTGGACAAAGGACTTCTCCCTGTTTCTCGCCGCAGTAATCCTGTAACAGTCTAGAACATGCACAACAAAGTAAATATAAAGAATGTCGGAAGTGTATAATCTATAATTACGCATACAAATTGTAATAACTTTAGCTACATTAATCTTTCCAATTAACATTTTATGTTGTACATGTTGGACAATAAATAAATGATTGTAAGGTAAGTTTCAGAAAATTAATATGTATTATATATAGATAAATAAATATTAGAACATGTACGCATTTATTTATGGCAAAAACTGCAATTTTGGCACCTAAAAACAGAAAATGACAAATCAAACGTTGCATCCTAAAACCAAACAAGCTTGGGACATCACATTACAAACCATTATTCAGGTCTGCATTATTTAAACATTGCATTAGCACTTTACCTTCTTCATTAGTGAATCCTACTTCACATTATAATTTGACAATTATCTATATTTTTGTTACTTTTTTATGTGGAAAAAATGTATTTATAACATGTACAGGAGGAGGCCAAATTATTAGGGACAGCACTAGATTTTAGTGTTTTGTAGTTTAACTGCATTTTTCAAACAAATTATTACTTTTTGATCACATAGTTAAAAATTATAAAAATATCTTTAAGTGAAATTATTTTCAGATAAAATTAATACTATTTAGTGAAGCCACAAGAATTTGATGCAATTATAGCTTCATTGCACTGCGGCACGCTCTCGTATAAATTTAAAATTTTGAGGTTGTGGCGTTACATTGTAAACTAAAATAGAATTCACACATAAAATTGAGTAAAAGTAATGCAGTAAGGAACACTAATTACCTTTTGATTACTTTGAAAATGAAAAACTTGCAAATTAAAAAATAATTTGTACATCTTCATTACAGCAGCAGTTTTCAATAAACTTCAATTGAATGAAAGTAACAACTCTTATTTCTTAAATAACACAGGGATTCAGTGTTACCTCATTATAAACAACAGTAATGATAACTGTAATACTGCAAATCTTATAGAAACTAAATTGTTTTTTGAGCAAAGAATTTGAACTAGAAACTACATTAATACAAGTACTATTCCTAATAATTTGGCCACCCACTGTAGGTATAAATTAAGTTCTTAGTTAAACACTAAGTAACTTTAAAAAGAGAACATGATCAAATCATTACACATAAATAAGGATTTTTTTGTCATGAACGTCACGTTTAAAAATCATAGAAATGAACATTTGTATACTGGAATTAGCTGTTAATAGAATTAACAGATTATTCCAGAACACAAAAGTAAAAAAGTATTGACACATCAATTAAAATTGAAACACTGACATTAATGTTAATATTATCACACAAAGAATACTAAAAAAAGTAATTTAATTACATTTAAATATTATTTTATGACCAATCTGCCTGGTATTTTTCTAGAAACATGTTAATTATATAAAATTAAATTACAATATCACCTCCAAAAAAATGTGCTCCAAAATTATCTATGAAAAAAATTTACAATTGTCATTAAAGAAAGTCCATTTCTTGGACATCACATATCGTAGACACAAAATACATACATCTTTCACAATACTATAGGTGTTCCTCAAAGCATCTGACATACTAAACACTAGTTAAAGATATTTTTAGTATATCATTTAGATACAAGTCACACAGGGGTTTCAGAGGTTCCATGCAAGGCTCAGTGTACCAAACAACTTCAGCACTGTGCCCCACATTGGTATACATAATAACTAAATTTAAAGTACCTGAGGGATACTATGTGCCGTTACAATAAATTTCCTTTATTTACGTACCCCCCCCCCCATCTTAATTACAGATTTATTACTGAACCACTTTTAAATTAATAGCAAAAATATAAGTATCATTTTTAATTGATCTATTTTCCTTACAACTTTACTCAATTAACAAGAAAAATCCTTTACAATGGCTACATAGCGATGCGCTAAAATTTATACTTCGCTTAATGTAACCCTTGACATTTGATATAATTCTTAGCTCAAAGATATTAGAGCAATCCTTTGATTTTAACCAAGTGGACATATTTACCCCAATTCTTCAATATGTAAGAGTTCATTCATGTAAATGTTCTATTTACTCACACCCCTACCTCTTTTCCACCTTTATCATGTGGATGGAGCAAATTCAAGACATTTAATTATATATAATACACATTTGGTGTAATATTCACATTTGATAACTAAAAATCCATGAGCAGCACATCACACTTATAACAATCATTCAAATAAAAATTCATATGTGTTATCAATTATTATCTATTTTCACTTTAAAGCAGATTTATTTAGAGCAGACATTGATAAGAATAATTATATATTGAAATACTTTTCATGCAAACCAGATAAACCTACCCAACAATGTTGGTAACAAAAAACAACAGTAAAACACACTTTCAACCAACATTTTTCTGATACACCTGAAAATCGAATCATAAATTTGAAAATCAAGAAGCTATCTTCCTTTCATTTCTATTTTTATAGTTGGAATTAGAAAACACATTGACTTTGTGCAAATCAAACCATTTTAATTTCAATAATTCAATTCATTACAATTTTTTTTTTAATTAGCTGATTTACATAAAAAAATGTCAACTTAAACCTAAAAATTAAAATTTCCATTTTTCACTGCCATCACTTTAAATAGAAAGGAACATTAATGAACAATTGCACATTCCCATTCGCCTGTCTACCATGTTGCAGTAGCAATTTACTTTTAACACTGACTGAAATCTTTGAGAAATGAAGTAGCTCTGAGACAATAAAATTCATCATTATAGGACCAAACATAATAATTAAGTTTGCAAAACAGTATTAGACCACCTAATCTGTGAATTAAATTGTGTGTAAACTACATAACATAATCTTAAAATTTAAACATGCCATTGGTGATATTTTGTCATTGTCATAGTTAATATTACATTTAAAATTAAATGTTATTTCTTTTAACAATAATAATTCCAAATGATAATTATAATAATATATCCCAAATATGTAGTGTATGCCTATTTAGAATATATTTAGAAGATTAGGTGGCAAAATATCTTTCAAATAAAATATAATATAAATACATATTTTAACACTGAAAACATAATTTAGAACAAACAAAATTTGACTAATTTTTTTCACCTTCTGTTCAATGAATTTGATTTTGCATCTTGTTTGCTAGGTCTGAAACTAATTTAGCTGGTCAATAAGAGATTAGGGTTGATTATTCCTCACTGAAATATTTCAAATGTCAGTTTGTAATATTGATACTAACCCCAATACTTTATGGTTCATTCCCGTACAACAAACATTATTGAAATTTTACTTCTTGATTCAAAAGTAATTAATTAAATAAATATAAAGTAAACTGATATCTCATTACTCACCTCAGCCAATGTACCATCACCACCAGCAACTATAACAGCATCCACACTTTCATCTAAATGCTCTGCAAGAGTTCGAGCTTCCCCCTGAGATTTGGTAAGCACAACTGTTACAGAAAGTCCAGCAAGATGCAATAATGGAGCGCAATAAGCATCAAAATTCTTCTTTGCTTTCCTGTAAAATTTTTACACTTGATATTTTTGGCTGTCACTCAATTTTTTATTAGATTACTTGTTTGAGACACAGCAAGAGACATTTACACATTTATGTAATAAGTGATCCCAGATCTTGGCCTGATAAATTAATATTTTCAGGGGAGCGCTGAGAAGAGGAGGGAGGATAAGAAGGAAAAGAAGAAAGGAGAAGTAATGCTCTGCACTCACAACAACTCACGAATTCTGAATATCCTCCTCTAGAAAAATTATGAAAAAATCTCTAAATTGTAAAAAATATTTCTAAAATATTTAGAACATCTGATCCTGTGTGACAAAGTTAATACTGAATTACCATAATGAAATTTGGTACTCAATGAATTTAGGTCAATCAGGAAAATATGGGGAGTGTGTGTCAATCAAATACTGAAATTGAAAAATAAATTCACCCGTACATTAATATACAAAACAACATCACATGATAATTAACAAGAAATAAACAAAATATGATATCTCTGATTTTATTACACAAAAAATGCACCCCATAAACTTAAGGTAAGGTTTATAAAATGCAGTATTTACCGTTTGTTGGCTGCTGGATTGACAAATACTGTAACGTTACGAATTTTGGATCCTCCTGAAGATGAAATATTGCCGTATTCTAAAGCTTCTCGGCAATAGTCTGCCATAAGAACATGACAACTGGAAGTTACAAACGTATTAGGTTATGTTGCACAGAACACCAAAAAGTCTCTTATATTTTACGCACTTACTCGTATTTTCCTTTGGCATAATTAAGACCGTAAGTAACAACCACACATCCAAAAATACTCTTTTTCCAGTTATTGCGAATTGTTTTTACAAATGACACAAGTTTCGCCATAGTTGCAGTCTAAGTTTTTCCTAACCTCCTGTCATTCCTTCTCACATGCACTTTATTTTGTTAACTACTTGAATATTTGTGAAAATCATCTGTAATTGTACTGTCACTCACTGCTAATAGCAAATCGGTACTTCACTACACCCAACTACACCCTACTTTACTTCACACATGTTCACAAACATGGAACAATCAATCATGAAGGCTGCATGAAGGCCTCAGGACGGCCTCATCAGATCGGGCCTCATGGCTTACGGTGGCTTGTGCCGGGCAGAGAGTATATCTCAGAGGCCGGGCCTGTGATCCAGAGAGTATATGCTCCAGAGAGCTGTGATCTGCCTGCGATGGCCCGATAATCGCATTGGTGAATTCACCACATTCACATATTACACAACAACCACAAACCACTTGCTAACCAATGCACCCTTGAAAGTTGAAACTGAAACAAGTGGTGATGTGACACATGGCATAATTCATGATGGAAATAATCATGAGTATAACAATATTAGATATACTATTATTTCCATTGTAAAATGATGCTGTAGGTTGCAAAAGGAAAGTGAAGCTCTCCTATTAGCCTTGCAAATGGAAAGTGACACTCTCCTATTAGCTTTAAATTTGCAAGTTCTTTAGGAAACGCACTCACGTATTTGGACATAATATTGTTGGACATATATTTGTTTGGACATATATTACACTTATTTTTTAGTTATAAATACTAGCAACTTTGTCATTGACATTCAGCTGTTTGGAAAGTGGCCTTGGTGTAATTATAATTATAAATACATATACATCGCATTGTTAAAACGAAATGTTGCATTTCTGAGGATGCGCAGTAGCAACAGTAAGCAATTTTTTAGTGATGCCAACAGCATATACTTTTATTGTATTATTCTCAATCGTAATATTTGTAACTGTTACGTAATGCAATATTGTAACTTGAATCCTACTATTTTTTTTCCTTCTCCAGAAAAGTCTATTAGTCCAGTTAAGGGTGCTCAAAGGGGCCCGATCCAGAAAAGAATTCCAGAAGAAATTTGACTCTGTTTTTAGTTTTTCGCTTCTATCTTCAGAAGTGCGCGTTTTATCGAAACAATTGTTATTTAAAAAATTAAAGTCGATGAAAGTTCTTACAAAATGCATATATTAACTTTAATTTTCTGAGAAAAAGTTTCGACGCTAGAGCGCACTGAAGAAGGTGAAAGACGAGTTTCACAGAAGACATGTCTCGCACACCTGCCACATTTACTACATTTGCTTAAGGACTTTTGATATGAAAATTTAAGTTGGAGGAAGTAGGAGCCAACCCCAACTTAAATTCCCTGTGTAATGGAAGTATTGCAAGCAGGGACTTTTTCTTTGCTGGAGATTGACATGCATGCGTACAAAATACATTTGTGCCAACGTTTTTTTGTTTCAATTTTCTCTGTGACGCTGACTGCTTTGGAGGTAAACATCAAATTCGAATTCCGCACCCTTAAAATCGTATAGAACCGTTGAGATAAAAACTTCCAGAACTGTTTCCTGGGTCAGATACCCGCTGACGGCTTTGGCACAAATTAGGAGATCAAAGAGTAATTTTTGCACGGTTTAAAGAAAATCTGACTTAAGCCGTGGCGCGGCGTGACAGTCGCGCGTAATCATCGCAAGATTTGTTGAACATCCGGGTCTCTCATTCTGAAGACTGGGAAATGAGATATGCGAAATATTTTTCGTAAGGTCTGTTTCGCAGGTATCTTTTATACACTCAAACTAGGGGCGGATTCAGCCGATCATTGTTTNNNNGAGGGGCTCATAGAATTTTATAAAATAATAAATATATATGTTAACACACATAAAAAAATAATGTTACAACAAAAATAGAACGTGTGCACAACTTTTACTATTTAGGCTACACTTTCACAGAAGACAATAGAAGCACAACAGAAATAAGAAAGCGTATTACACTAGCAAAGAAGTCGTTCCTAAATAAAATAAATTTGCTCGCAAATACCAATTACCAAATACCAATACGAAGGATGGATGCTGCCAAAACGGGCAAGAGTTGTTTAGAAGCTTGCGAGATTGTGACAAGAAATACTGAAGGTTTCCTGGACTGAAAAAATTTCAAACAATGTAATATGAAAAGGACAGCGGCGGACAGAATGTCATGGCGGCAGTGACAAGACACTTTTGGCCTTTAGGATGATGATATGTTATTAAAATGTATATTCTTTTTGACCTGTATACATGATACTACACAATATTATTTTTCAAATAAGTTCATAATTATAACATATATAAATATTTAAATAAATTTTGCCAAATAAAGAAGGTAACAAACGATAACTATAGGTCTTCTCTCCCCTCCTGGATCCGCCAGTGATTCAAACAACTAAATTTCCTGGTATTTTTCTCCCCACATTCTTTTCAATAAATCTTCAGACTATATTGAAATCTTCTTAACCTTAAGCATATATTGAAATTGAAATAGAATTCTTTGGTTCGTTGTTTTTTGTGGGGAAACCCAAAGCAATAATTCAGTAGCCGGGAAGCCCCTTCAGAGGCGTGGCCTACTTTCGAGACGAGAGAAGGACATTATGTTCCGACGGAAACAGAGAGAATGGAAAATTCCTATACTCCGCCGGAGCTTATTGGCCAAATTTAGTGTACAACGCCATCACCTTTAGCCAATAGCGACGCGATCGTTGTAGGGAGCCAGAACATATGAGGAGAAAGGGTGGGGATAAAAGTTAACTTCATGCATTTATGAGAAACAAAATTTCAGTTGGTAGAGAGACTTCTCTGGGAGTGGGAGCCAGTCGCGGGGAGAGGCGAGTGCGCCTCTGAAGGCAGTGGGCTGAAAGCAGTTGGTAGAGAAACTTCTCTGGGGTGGGAGCTATTCGCGGGGAGAGGTGAGTGCGCCTCTGAAAGCACTTAGTTGAAATCGCTGGGGTGATAGACTGGAATTCTCAGTGAGAATTTTAGAGGAAGTGCAAAAGCACTTCAAAAGTAAATTGGCGAATCCTTTGTAATTGTGTATTCGCTACAGGATTTCGCTACTTCTGAATTTGTATTTGAGAGGATTCGCATAGTTCAGAGGGAAACACTGTTGTGTGCTACGCAACTGCGACCGGGAGCAATACACCCCGACGACATCTACCTACACCGCCGGGCAGCCTCCAGACGGCCCTCCTCCTGACGTCACGGACTGCCGCAGACGCCGCGAGCCGCTGCTAGCCGCCCTGCTGTTGAGGGGGCGCGACCGGCCGAACGCATTCCAGCGAAGGTCGCCTACAAGCTCCGCCCGGGTCTATTGAGCGAACCCGCCACGAAAGGCTCTCAGGCATTGTAACTGGGGGCAATAAACCTTTTGAAGTATTGTCAAAGCGGTGCCGCGCCAAGGCACAAGAAAGGTCCTCAGGGACAACTCTGTAAATCTAACTATAAAATAATTTTGTACTCTTCTCTAGTTGTAAGCTCTCCTTTTAATTTTAATCTTTATTTTTTTCTTTTAGTCAATCTTTCCTCTTTCTTTTATTTTATTAATGTAACTTCCCTGGTACTGTTTATCCAGGAATAAACTTTGTTTTTTTTACCAGTGATCAAATTATTTATTTTGAATATCCATTAATTTCGTTAACAATTCCTTCCATCACCTAATTTTAAATGAACAAAGGAAATTGTTACAATTGGCTAATTTTTTAAACGAGTAAAGGGAATAGGACCGACTGAGCTATAGCCGGGCCGCTAACCGCGCATTTTCCGTCGACCGGGAGATGAGTGGAGGTGTTACAATATGTGTAGATATATCACTAGTCACGACGGCGATCGCCAGTATTTACGTGTTGTTGATGGGAAACATGGAAAACTCCATTAGAACAGTCGACTGTTAGAATTCTCCTCCAGACAGCGGATCAATTCACCTAGTATTGGTGTCCTGTTGCTTGTGTCCAAAATTCGCCACCATGGGGATTCGAATCCTACGATCTACCGGTCAGAGAGAAAAATGAACATTATATTATTTATTATCTTTACAAAATGTGTAATCCATTAATGTGCAAATTGTTGAAAAATTGTAAATGAGACATTTTTATGTAATGACATCATTTAAAGATCTAATTTTAAAAGAATAGGAAAGCATTACATCTCCAGTAATATTGTTGTAGAGGCCGGAAAAAATGTTAAATTTTTGCTGTTTTACAAACTTCATAAGTTTTAATAAAGTTCAAACATATGCCGCATTATTGAGTGATCTTTGCTCCACTCGAGCAAAAAAAAAGCGCTTTTGAGAAGAAAAAACATCATGTTTTTGGAAAATTGCTTCGATTTCGTTCAAAATTCCTCAAAAGCTATTCATATTTCAAGAAAACTAACCGGAATGTTTTGGATGATTTAATTTTGAAGAACAGCTCCTTCTCACCTTTGAACTAGAAAAGAACCAGAAGGTAATTTGGTGATACTTAGATCCGGAATTATCAACGCCTTAGATGCTCACTTACCTATTCAAAAAGAAGTTCCAAACAAAAATAAACGATGAATTACTAAAAGGACTGAAACGCAAAAAGAAATAATATGGAGCCAAACTCTGCGGAAGTATTAAGAGGTTTAATTTCGTACGATAAATAATTCGTTTTGCTTGTTGAGATGCCGATTTGTTGGAGGGTTTGATAATTGATCATGTTGATTTTTTGAAGAGGAAATATACAAAGTTTTTCATTTAAAAAAAAATTGCTTCCCAAATCTATTAGTGTTTAATTTCAATGTTTTTTACAGTATTTAATTTAATCTTCAATTTCTTTCCTCCTCTTGGTGCCTAATGGTGTTAAACGATCGCAGTGAAATAGAACTTTCGGGGGCGGATACAGTCGATCATTTTGGGTGTGTGATAACATATTTTTGTTAAATAATACACATATTTGTTATTTTGTATATTACATTGGTAGTGTATATATACCATGCAATATTATTGTTTAAATAATTACATAATTGTAACTAATATTAAAATCAATTTTGCCCAATGGCAATTTTGCCCAAAATCAATTCTGCCAAAGGCAGGGAAAACCTTAAGCCTCTTTTGGAGGGGGGCAAGCGCCTCCCCCCCCCCCCCGGGATCTGCCCCTGGCTACAGGTAGTGTCCAGCCTATGGTTTCTTGTACATAATTTTTCATTTAAGCTGAATATAAAATATATTTTTATTTGCTGATTTTTTGTGAAGATTCATTTTGTTTACAATTTATTGATATAGTGAATGCCTTTCGTTAGTATAGAAAACTGGAAAGTGTTATATTTTTTTTAATAAGCAACATTGGTTTTTGAAGATACTGAAGTGAGCTCCCTTTCCCCTTGGGTGTCTTCAGTAGGTTTCTCTGTAAAATTCCCATCATTTATGTTAATGACAAGGCTCATCTTTGTGATCACTAGGGCTGCGATTTATAGGCATTTGCATATTTATTCTGTTCACAAAAACATCCCGTTTCAACAAATTGAATACGTTTTGAGGCATTTAGAATCAATTTAAGCAATTTGTATTTCGCATATATTACCCTAATTATTCACGCCTCATCCGCGAAAAGAAGCCCAAAAGTTAGTTCCATCAGCCTGCAAGTGGTTCTGACAGTTCTCGTGCCAATTGCTATGGTAAATCATATG